GCGTTGACCACTCAGCTTCCTAGGTGGAGAATGATCTATCCGCCTCTAAAGGGGCTTGCTAGAATAGGCACATGCAAAGCCACATTTCAAATAATTTCCTCTGCTTTATACTACGCACTACAGAGTGGTACATCTGTTAAATCACGCGCTCCAGATGGCGTTCTCATAGCTGCACTGCATTTACTCTCGTTATCATTGGATATTTGCACTCAGCAGAGGGAATCTAATATTCAGGCCTGCGAAGAAACTTCACTTCCTATCCTCGAATTAGCTGGTTTGGAGATAATTGGTATAAGCCAAGGGACTGGAAAACAAAGTTTGTTGTCTCTTCTTGTTTCGTTAATGAGGACTCGTAAAGATGATGGTCTCCATCAATTTCCGGAGGCAGGCAGTTGCAATATTTCGTCCTGGATTGGAAATCTGCTGAAGAAGTTCAGTGAAATTGATTCTGTTTGTATGAACCTATTGCAAAGTCTTGCCCCAGAGGTGGTTGGTCAATCTGGCTTTGATAAAGTCACGTCAAGCTCTGCTTCTGATGAGAAACGCAAGGCTAAAGCTAGAGAGAGACAGGCTGCTATTCTGGTAAGTTCTTTCAAATTTAGTGCTTAAGTTTGATATGAAACCGGTAACCATTGATGTAGCACTTTAACATATGATCCCCTGTTCGCCCCATGACTGGTCCTGCAGGACGCATACATTCATTCCTCTGTGGTAATAGATAGTCTGAATTGTATTGATGTTCATTATTCGACTTGCTATCGACAGTAAGAAACAACAAGTTCCAGGATATGCTAGTTATGGTTATTTTAACTTGCATGCAGGCAAAAATGAAAGCTGAACAATCAAAATTCTTGTCTACCTTGAGTTCCAGCATGGATGATGATGATACTGAAACAAGTGATTCTGTGATTGAACATGATTCAGAAATGGCTGTCCGTGAAGTTTGCTCCCTCTGCCATGACCCAGATTCCAACGACCCTGTTTCTTTCTTGATTTTTCTCCAGGTGGGTAGTGTGATGATACTGTTATTTGTGACTTTTATTGTTAAATAAATATTTTCTCCGATGAAGTTTTGTTTTGCATCAGTCTTAATGAGATCTTTCTTTTCCTGCAGAAATCTAAACTTTTGAGTTTTGTGGATAGAGGCCCTCCATCCTGGGATCAAGGTCCACTGCCCGAAAAGAAGATATCTGTGGATGGAGCTCCCGATCTCCTGACAATGATTGTATCCTCAGATAGTTTAAGAATGAGTCCTCCTCCCCTGCTGCAATCGTCAGATGATACAACCTCTGAGTCTGCTACAGATTGTGTGCTTGAATCTCTAAAGGCCCGGTTTATAGGGAGTGGTAAGACGGAGAAGAGGTCTAGCGATTGGAGGGGAAAAGATGAACCGAATATGGAATCATTGGAGATAGCTATGTATCAAAATGTTCGTAAAAAAATTGAAAGCATGATAAATGAAAGCCTTACACGTGTAGATCATGGACACCATGATGCTGGAAGTAGCTTGGAGAGAAATTACGTTGGTGGTCCATCTACTTTGCAAGTTACATTTCCTGATATTCGATCAAGACAGACTTCCAGACATCCTGATGTCGGTTCAGTTGGGTTTCACCCTACCGACTGTGATGGGGTTTATCTTTCATCATGTGGACATGCTGTGCATCAAAGCTGTCTTGAACGATATTTGAAATCGTTAAAAGAAAGGTGAGCCATTTTTTACTTCTTTGTAGTCGTAAGTGAGAAACAAAAATTAATTAGCTTGTAGATAGGTGAGACTTTTTTTCTTTCAAGTTGTTATCTCCTTCCTACGTTATTAGCATAATTGAATTGATTATTTTGCTTCCTTGATTTACAGCGGCGATATTAACATTGAATTTAAGAGCCCCTTTTTTGTTTCAATGATGTAGGTCTGGTAGAAGAAATATCTTTGAAGGTGCACATATTGTGGATCTTGAACAGGTATTTGCGTGACAAGTTTAGATATTTTTCTGGGGCTTTAATATGCACCTTCTGAATCTTCGATATTGTTTCTGTTAGGGAGAATTTCTCTGTCCTGCATGCCGCCGACTAGCTAATTCTGTATTGCCTGCTTGTCCTGGAGATCTATGTTCTGTCTCAAAGCTACAAGAAAGTCCGCGTGCTAAGTTAGGTGGATCAGATGCACAGAAACCGTCTCTTTGGCTCTCTGAAGCATTGTGTCTACTACGATCTGCTGCTGAAGGGATCGATGATGTTGATAGCGTGAAAACAATATCTCTGCAGGGAGTTGAACCAAGAAGGAAAGATCTTGAATCTGTATCTAAGAAGCTATGGAATTTCTATTTTTCCCAGGGACAGGAAAAATCTCTGGAAAGTCCATGGCTACCACAATCAATCGTCATGTGGGACACCCTTAAGTACTCTCTTATTTCAATGGAAATTGTTACTCGCTGTGCGAAGAATTCGATGCTTCCTGTCTATTGTATTGACTCCTTGTATGAAGAGATTAAAACCTCTAAGGGAACTGTTTTGTCACTCTTATTACGAGTCATACAGAGCACCCGAACAAAGAACGCTTTAGATGTTCGTCAGAGATTTATGGGTATGAAGCATCTTGCAGAGTCTATATGCTCTGGAATTTCAAGTAGTTCTTCGGGCAGCATATTTGGAAATGAAGGTAATTTTTCTCCAATTCTGAAAGAGAATAAATTATATGGAAATGTCTGTCTACATGGGCTCTGTATTTGCTCTTAACGCTGACATTAGTTGTGATTTTGGGATCAACAGTTTTAGGCTATCTACAAATTTCCCAATTATGAATAAATTGGTTGCTCACTGTAGATGATGTTTGTTGATAATATCTGAGAATAGTTGCCATCTTTTCAGGCACATTGAAGAATATAGACCTGCTCTGGAATCGAGCATCTGATCCAGTTCTTGTTCATGACCCATTTTCATCATTGATGTGGGCTCTCTTTTGTCTCCCTTTTCCTTTTATCACATGCGTGGAATCTCTATTGTCACTTGTGCATATTTTCTACAGTGTCTCTCTTGTTCAGGTATGCCACATTCTTCTCTGCGTATAGACTAATTTTGCCTATTTAGATTCACTTTTTCTAATCATGCTGTCTTTGGTGCAGACTGTAATTGCCTATTGCGCAGGTCGTCTGTGTGAGTTAAGTAAGTTAGATTTAGAGGAAAACCTGCTTTGCGACATCTCCATCGCTTTGAGTGAATCAGGTGGTTGGGGGTATTTCAGGTCAAACAATATGGATTTATCATGTGATATAAAAGACACAATTCGTAAATGCAGTCTTCCTTTCTTGAGGAGATGTGCATTGTTGTGGAGGCTACTGAAAACTACTCCAGGGAACTTTCATGAAGAGGTAGACATGTCTGATGTGCCATCTGACTCAACCAGTGACAAGATGGATTTCATGTATAGTCCTCAATCTGAGCTGAATCATTTGCATGAGCTGGAGAAAATGTTCAAGATTCCGCCTATTGATACCATTCTCAATGATGAACTTCTCCGGTCTTCAACACAAACATGGCTTCGCCATTTTCAGAAGGAATGCAGAGTTAACAGAGTTCAAGGGCCTGTTTGCATGACCCCTGTAGTTCCTTTCCAGCTTATGAAACTGCCCAATTTATATCAGGATCTACTTCAAAGGTTTAAAGCAGCGTCTCTCTCTCTCTCTCTCTCTCTCTGGTTTTTTGCACGAATTTACTTTCCCAGTCGAAGAGAACTCCTCTAATCAAGAAGCATGTTTATTTTTCTTTTTATCAGGTGTATAAAAAAGCCTTGCAGCAACTGCACGAAAGTTATCGAAGAACCTGCATTATGTCTTCTTTGTGGAAGATTGTGTTCTCCCATATGGAGACCCTGTTGCAGGTATTTGCGTCACTTTCACTAGTCTCCGAAGATCCTTCTTCTTGTTTTGGACTTTACCAAATGACGAGAACGTACTTGTACAGGGAAAGTGGTTGTCAGACTCATGCAGTTACCTGTGGTGCTGGTACTGGTGTATATCTTCTGATACGGGTATCGCCTCTCTCATAATACAACACAAGTTTCTTTTTCTTTCAGTTTTGCTTGTGTATGTGTGGTGTTTGGGCGTTTAATGGATTAGTATTCTTCAAATTTTTCAATAGCGGACCACAATTTTGCTGCAAAGATTTGCAAGACAATCACCTTGGCCATCTCCTTACTTGGATACCTTTGGAGAAGAGGTAAACCTGCAAAAGAATTTCTTTTTTGAAAATCTAACTTTGATTGGTATGATCTTCTTCTTTGTTTGTTTCCGTGCGAAGAATTTGATTTTGTTTTGTGGGCTGCAGGATACCGATATGACGAGAGGAAAACCACTATACCTGAATGAAGAACGTTATGCTGCATTAACTTACATGGTAAGTGTTAATGTTCGTCTCTGAATCAAATAGCACAAGTTTGTATGGTAATATCATGTTTTGCTTCCTTTGTCAGGTTGCTTCTCACGGACTCGATCACAGTTCGAAAGTTCTCAATCAAACCACAATCGGAAACTTCTTAATTTAGAGGCTCTTCTCTCTTTCTATCCTCCTCCTCCTCCTTTCTCTTGTTCTCTCTGTAGATCATATGGATTCATATGCTGCTTTTATACATCACTTAAAATTTGAGAGATTTTCGGATGTTTTTTTTTCAATATTGTACAAGGTTCATTTAATTTCTGTCACCTTGTTTGGTTGATTTCTTTATTTGTGGATATATGATATCCATGTTTGTAAATAGAGTATTTTTCTATGAAAAGAGTATTTGTATGCATCGTAAAGCCCATTATCCAATCTTTTGTGGGCCAACCGTTTGCCCAAATCAATCTTGTAAAAAACGATGGGCTTAATGATAATGCTGATTTGATTAAAAAAGGCCTTTTAACCTTTAAATTAAACTCTTATCATATATCAGTGAAAAAAAATTATATTAAAAAAAAGCCTTCTAACTTTTAACTTCGTCTTAAAAGCCCCCATGTACCACCTACCTATGCTAACTCGGATGTTTCGGTTTCACTATTCTCTTTCACAGATGTAAACTCAAGCTGTCTTGATTTGAACACAGCTGTTCTTTTAGCTCTTAAGCGATACGGCGGAGAGACATTGAAAGTGTTCCCATTTGACCCGAATTTCTCAGCGTCTCCACGATCATCAACAATCTTTAGCAACAAACCTTCTTTCCGAACTGGAGAAATCTCTGAACTGTCTTTACTGTTTTCTTTCTGATCAGCTTCCTTAGTCACACCATTATCAACCTCATCATCTGTTTTCTTCTCCGAAACAACCTTTCGCCTTTTCCTATAGATAGAAGGCGTGTTTGGAAAAGTCCTAGCAGCTTCTCTCAGGAAAGATTCAGGGCTTCTTGTTGCAGTTAAGCCACTGTCCTTATTACACGGTGGAGTCATCAAGCTAACCGGTGATGCAGCACTGGGACTGCAGCCACATTCGTATCCGTACATACGTTGCAGATCCGATTCTGCTGGAAAGTAAAGGTCCAGTGGAGACTTATAGCACAAACTACCATGCTTCGGAGTTCCAAAACCATTTTCTTCATTCCTTTGGATCGATCTTTCGACAGAAGCTTTTGAGTTGATTCCGGCTTTTTCTGAAACTGGTCCCAAGTTAGGCAACTGAGGCTTGTACTCAACAGAAGCTGGAGAACAAGCATACTCTTCAACACTGGTTCTTCGTGAAGCAGCTACTTCTTCAAGCACAGCTGGAGATGAGTTTATATGCTCTCTTCCATCTTCATCTGTATCCGTACTTGCTGAAGAAGTTTCGGATACGGAATCAGATTCCTTTAAACGCTTAGTTGCAATATTCTGCTTGGAATCTCCGTCTCCATCGGCAAAATCATTGGGAACGCCGAATTTGGTTGCTGGTGGTGGCAAGTTTCCTGTAGCTATATAGAACTCCAACTTTTTCTTCAACGAACTATTCCAGTGATTCTTAATCGCGTTATCCGTCCTGCATTAAGCCAGACAGACAGTTTCATGAAATCATAGGCAACAAAACTGAATGAGGATGTTTAAAAAGATCTTAGAACTTTCAATTAGCTGTGTTCAACAAGAAAGTATACCTTCCAGGCAAGACTTTAGCAATTTCAGCCCATTTGTTTCCGTGAATTCGATGAGCATCCATGAGGGCTGATTCTTCTTCTCTAGTCCAAGCATCTTTTCTAATATCAGGATTTAGATGGTTGTGCCACCTGTAATCATATAAATGCATCTTGTTGAAGCTTCCATTCCAAAATGAAAGGAGGCATACGTTTTATTCTAATCGTTATTACCTTTCTCTACATTGCTTCCCGATACGACCTGGTAAAGACCCTGCGATAACAGACCATTTGGCCGGTCCATACTTTCCCACAAGTTCAACAATCTTATCATCTTCCTACAAAACCAGAAGCGAAGGAGAAGTCTTTTTAGAGCTCGTGGAATCAAAAACGAAGAAAAAGTTTCAGAACATCAAAAAGAAAAAGGAACCTCTCGAGTCCAAGGTCCTTTAAGAAGCGCAGGATTAATAACTTTCTGCCACCGGTGCAAGCATTGGACTTCTGTTCTATCTGTGAAAAATTCCGCTGCAAAGTGAAATAACAATAAATCAAACAAGGAGTTGCAACACTGATGCTACTTTTTGTACAGGAAGTAGATCCAAGAAAAGAAATTTACCTACTTTCTTCCACCTCTTGCCCTTATACTTGTCCACTGCTTGTCGCAGTGTCTCATCCTGAATAGTGATAGAACCAATTACAGGCTAAAACAAGGCTAGTCTCATCTTTCAATCATTGTAAAAAATAGCATTTGCTATATACTAATCCATGCATGTATAAGAAACATAGTCGAGTTGGAATCTATTATGTACACAGAAGCTTATCTATTATGAAACCGAGAATAAGGAAATAGAGAGAGAAAAAAGCAACCACTAACCTCCTGTGGAGTCCAACCACCTTTTGCTCGCCTCATAGGGCCACTAGTCCTTCTGCAGGATCAACATTTAAACATTGCAAAACCCAAAATTTGAGAAAGAGTTCAGGTAGGGAATTCAGAGTTCCAAGTATAAACTCACACATATCGAAAGAAGATGAAGTGAAGCAGATAACACTACCTTTGAGTTGGGGATGCTGTGGCAGGAGTTGTGATTTCAGGTGACTTAAGGAAGCAATTGGCACTGCCTTCGGATGCAGAAGAGCAAGAAGCAGGTGTTGGTTGCTTATTCTCCATACACTGAATCTCAATTCTCATTTCGCTTCTTTCCTCCTAAAGCTCACCAAAATCCAGAATTATCACAATGAACAGGAATATACAGAAACTGAAAAAAAACGGATCATTATCAAACCAGTAAATTAAAAATCAGAAAACCAAAGGCAGCGAAACAGAAGCCAGATCTCACAAATCGGGAAACCCAGAGTAAAAGAAAAGAAGTAAGAGAAGCATCGAACGATTTAGGGTTTATAACAAGTCAAATCAATAAGACCCTCTTCCGAGACCGTAAAAATAAGAAAACCTAATCACCCTAATCGGATTCTGGGTAAAATCTAACCTTATCCGGAGAACAATCCGGTGGATTCGAACTGGAGCTCATCAGATGAACGAATTCGCGAGCAGACGAAGAGGAAGAAGAAGGGAAACGTTAAGAAAACCAAACCTTTATTCGAAAAAAACTTTGCCCGTTGAATGAGACGAGAGTAATGGAAAAATAGGAAGAAGAAACAAAAATTGGGGTTAAAAACAAAAAAAAAAAGGTCAAAAACTGATATTGTAACGAATACTTGTTTCGCCGACGTTACCGTTACTCGCCGTTACCCTTCCTTCGCCTCACCAAATGTATTATTATTCGCTGTATCATGAACTCAAATCAAGTAGTATTTGATTGAATAAGAAAAAAAATGTTATTCTATGCTATTTTGAAAATCAGAAGATAAATAAGTTAAACAACATAAAAAAAAAAAAATTCTGTATTAGGATAAAATTGGACTTAGTTTGTTAGATTCTATAACTTTGTTTGGATTCTATGTATTTAACTAGATTTATATGTATTTAACTAGATTTTGATGTACTTAATAAGATAAATTTGGAGAATTCGAAGTAATAATGACTCGAAAAAAGTTAATTCTGGGCCCAAAACTAACCCAAACAAAAAAAGAGAAGATGTAATGGTGGGCCTAATGATACAACTTTTTAGAAAATTGAAACATAACAAATTCAAAAATATCAACGGGATCACTTCTAACTTCGAATTTTGAAATCCATTTCATCTCGTTTCCTTTTCTCTCTCTCAAACACACAAACAGAAATGGATTCGAAAACCCCAGTGAAAACCAAAGTTTTGGGGTCGTCTTCGATCTCCAAGGTTAGAGTCGTCCTTAGGGTTCGTCCGTTTCCAAGGTTAGAGGTTTCCGACGACCGATCCTGTGTTTCCGTAATCGGCGGCGATGCCGGAGATGCGAGCGAAGTGGCAGTTTGCCTCAAAGATCCAGATAGCTGGTAAGCGTCTTCTCCTTTTTCTTTTCACTCTAAGTTCTGGAGGGCCAAAATTTCATGATGGGTTTGGTGTTATTTGGAGCAGCCGTAACGAAAGCTTTAAGCTGGATGCGTTTTACGGGAGCGGTGATGATAATGTGAAGCAGATTTACAATAGAGAAGTAAATCCTTTGATTCCGGGGATCTTTCGAGGTCTCAACGCTACTGTGCTTGCTTATGGAGCCACTGGAAGCGGAAAGACGTTTACGATGCAGGTCGGTTAGCTACAAATCTAATTTCGCAAATTTGGATTTAGGATCAAAATCGTGATAACTAGAGATCCTTTTTGCTTAATTTCTGTTTTATACTGTGAGAATTATTGTTTGGCCATAGACAAGAATGATGGCAAATGTCTTAGTGAGATCATGAAAATGAGAGATTTTAGTGATTAGTGTTTGTTGGGTTACTCAGCTTCTGATTTCCTTTCGATGAACCTTTACTTGTCAGCTTTTATCGAAACCTATGTTATGCTGCTGAGCCCTGAATTGTGCCAGAAAGAATAGCTCTTTCACATTATTGCTTTGGAGTAAACTGTAAACTGCGGTTTCAGCTACGTTTGCATTTGATCTTCTCAGGGAATCGATGAGCTCCCTGGCTTGATGCCCTTGACCATGTCCACCATTCTGTCCATGTGCGAGAAGACAGGAAGTAGGGCAGAGATTTCATATTATGAAGTTTACATGGACAGATGTTGGGATCTCCTAGAAGTCAAAGCCAACGAGATTGCTATTTGGGATGATAAAGATGGACAAGTTCATCTTAAGGGGCTGTCTAGTATCCCAGTTAACTCCATGTCCGATTTTAACGAGGCGTACTCATGTGGCGTTCAGCGGCGGAAAGTTGCGCACACTGGTTTAAATGATGTCTCTAGTAGAAGCCACGGAGTGCTTGTTGTCTCAGTAACCTCAGAAGGTGTTGTCACAGGGAAAATCAACCTGATTGATCTGGCAGGTAAACTTTCTAATCATTTTCCAAGTATCAAAGTATCGAGTTAGAGGACCCTCTATTCGTTCGTAACTCCGTGGCTTCACCAGGTAACGAAGACAATAGAAGGACAGGCAATGAAGGAATCCGTCTACAAGAGAGTTCCAAGATTAACCAGTCACTATTTGCATTGTCGAATGTGGTTTATGCACTGAATAATAACCTGCCGAGAGTGCCTTATAGGGAAAGCAAATTGACTCGAATACTGCAGGATTCACTTGGAGGGACAAGTAGGGCTCTCATGGTGGCATGTCTGGTAGGAAGATGAAGTGTTTCTGTTGTATCGTTGAATTCATTGCTTTGATCAGGAAATATATACTCTTGAGTGGCTAATATGATGAATCCATTTGTTTGTTTTTGGCTCTTTTAGAATCCTGGAGAATATCAAGAATCTCTTCGTACTGTTAGCTTGGCTGCAAGGTCAAGGCACATCTCAAACAATATTTCTTTGAATCCCAAAGTAGAGACCCCCAAGGTTAAGATAGATATGGAAGCAAAACTGCAAGCTTGGCTTGAATCAAAAGGCAAGACGAAAAGCTCACACAGAATGATGGCAATACGTTCTCCGCTGATTGGTACAAATCAAACTCAAAGCTCGGTCAAGAAACTCGGTTGCCACAGATCAGCCACTACTGCAGAAAGTGCTAAACTTGCTGGCAACGGACAGAGGTACCCCTTTAAAAAGGTTGAGTTTTTAATTACTCAACGTCCTAGAACCTATTCTCTTACTATATATCCATACGCAGGGACGCATTTGTGACCGCAAGAAACTTATTTGGTGAGGAAACTACTGCTGCTTCACATTTATGGGTATTCTGCTCTTCTTTCATTGTGATAAAAATCAGATATAACCTTGTAAATCAAATTGCACGTTTTGATAGATTACTTAAAGCGGTACTTAAGTAATCGATGTCTTTGAAATTCCAGGAACCAATACAGAGTCTGCACTTAGCTTCACCAACCAAAGATGATGAGAAAGACACATCTGCCGAAGAAAATATGTTGGAATCAGAAGCAAAGTTGAGAGGTTTGCTTTCTTGAGCTACTTGTTGATAACTGGTTTGGACATTTGATATTTCTTCTTACTTTGGTTTGCGTTTATCCTATCTTAGATAAACTATCGGGGCTCGAGAAGAAATACACAGAACTGAGTCCTCTTCGAGAAGCTCTATCTCCGATAGACTCAAATGCAAAACCAAACTCAGCTGATGGGTGCTCTCCTATTCTCAAGTCAATGACTCCAAAAACACCTTTACTTTCTGCAAACACTGAGAAAATGCGGCTGGAAGGCACATGCCAGAAATTCGATGCTTGGAGCACTAAATTAAAGGTATGAATCAACAACATTCTCAAAAACATGGGCTATTATGTTGACAAGAGCTACAAATCTGATCCTTTTTTGCGACGTCTTTTCTTTTCACAGACCTCCCTCATAAAGGAGTATATTAACTTCTTGAATACAGCCAACAGGTAACTATATAGTGTCCAGTTTCATCTGCCTGCCTAAGATTCTTCGTAACCCTTATGCTCTCACAAGAACTAACTTTCACCATTTATCTATTTTTTTTAAAACACAGAGAAGAGCTAATGGAGTTAAAGGTGAAGCCTCATGAATTCACAAATTCTATGCTTCCATAGTCAAATATTTGTTTCATTTCACATAGCTCTGTTTCATTTTTTTACTATCAGGGAATTGGACAGAAGATGGCTGAGTACATAATTGAACTCAGAGGAAGAAGCCCTTTAAAATCGGTATACATTCACTCTTCTAGTCTTCTTCCCCATATTTGCCCTTGATAGCTAACTCTGTTTCATCTACTAATCAAATACATGGGATTTTCAACAGCTTAGTGACTTGGAGAAGATTGGTTTCACCTCAAGACAGGTACACAACTTATTCAAAAGAGCCACTGAAGGAATTCTTGAGAAGACAGTTTCTGCTTCGACAACTACACCTTAGTTGTTGTCTCTAGCAAACAACAAAACTTTGGTTGCTTCAAGAACTTGTGTACTATGTGTGTGGGAGTAGTTTCATTATTATTTGTCTGTTCTTCTTGTGTATCTAGGCTATTATAACCAGAGAGACATGTGTTGATCTTAATTGTGTAGTGTGTAAGAAAGAAGCAAACTTTTAAAGTTCTGACTGAAACTTCACTCAAATACACATCCCCATAATAGTTTTGGATTATATATAGTCACGGAGATAAAACTTACAGAGATACCTTATGACCAAACCATGAAAAGAAAACACACAGACGAAGACGAACAAGACTCACGTCGCCGGCAAAACAACCGGAGAAATCAGCCATTATTAAAACATAACCAAACCTAACATAACATTAGGGTTATTGCAGACTCTTAGGGTTTAAGGAGCTCTTCATTTGCAGGTGCAAGGGTTGCACTTGCAGTCAGATCCGCATTTGCAGGCATCATTCTCGGCGACGAAAGTCTCGCCGGAAGCCTCGTACTGGGAGTTCATCGCCGGAGCAACGCCGAGGACAAGAGTCTCGGTGGTGGTGGTCTCGCCGGAGAAGCTCAAGTCAGGGTACATTTTGCAACTGCACAACGCGAAAACACCGAGATCGTACGTCAGAATTAAGGAAAATTAAAACCAGAGAGAATTCGCCGGAAAAATCAGGGATTCCAATTCAGAAAATTGAGATATTTAACACACACAAAAAAAAACTTCCAAAAACCATTTTCGTTTCCCGAGAAATTTTACAGAAACCAAGATTCAAAAATTAAGGTGAGAGAGGAGACTCGAGACTTTACCCTCCGCAACCAACACACTTGCAGCCAGATCCGCAACCACAGTTTCCTCCACAGCAAGACATTTTCTCTAGAAAATTCGAAGAATCACGAAGAAGATCTTAATTTGCCTTTGAATAAGCTTTTAAACAATATTTAGTGAATGAAACTGTATTACGGAGGAGCCTCCTTATTTATAGGCTAATTGAGAAAGTTTGAACCGTCCACCTGTCACAATCTTATTCCGCTCTTGTCACCTAAATAATCGTTCCCGAAGTAATTACAACTTTTACCCTTTTCCAATCCGGCAATTTTAAGAAAGACATTTTGGATTAGTAATTTAGATAAATCCAAATCTATGAAAATTTTAATAAATTTAAAATTTAAAAATAATTTAAATAAATATTGCTTTCCAAATTTTCTCAAACAATTTATGGGTTCTTAATTCTAAATTACCTTTCAAATCATCTCAAATTATTTTTAAAAATAATTCATTAATAAAATTTCAATTTTCTAATAAGGTAAAATTTTAGTAAATTTATATAAATGACTAATCCAATAACCTTGAATGTTAAGTAATTTTTTCAAATACTAAATTCAATAAGAAGATATTTGAAAGAAAAAAAAAATCATTCCAAATTATTATTCCAATATGCCCACTAAAACTTTTTTTGAGAATGGACAATTTACACTATTTTGACAATTTAAAAATTCTTAATTTTGATATTGACTGTTTCCTTAATAATTCTGTGTTGCCTAACATGTTTTAATAGACAAAAAAAAAACAAATTTCATAAACTGAATAAAAGTATTTTAATTGAAAATTTAACTCATAAGTTTACACTTTTGATATTTACTTGTTGTTACTTGTTCCATGTTACTTTCAAAACTTCATTAAAATATTCTCTTTGGTTTGACATACCCGTATGGCCGTATCTCAACATTCATTATGTAATTATAGTGTAATGGGTTTGTCTCTTTCGGGAGATGTTTGAAAAGATATTGTAGATTTTGGTGTGGGAGTATTACCTTGGTGGATCCGATTGTGAAGAAAAAAAATTGTCTCTAAAACAAGAAGATGTTGCAAAGTAGTGTTTCAGAGACTTTTTTTTGTTAATTGAAGTGAAAGTAAGTAGGCAAAAAAGATGAGCCAACTTCAGGTGGGCCCATTATTGACCTTGTCCATTGTATGTGGGTATTGGAATCGAATATCTTCTCTTGAACGCTTTTGTAAAAATCGATCTATAGAAAAAGTAACGGAAAAATTAGGAGAACCATCCATATGGGAATCATGCAGTGTCGATAAGTCTAATCCCTATAAAAAGTTAAAAGAGTATTGATATGAAATGCTTGTGTTTTCTTTTCTTGGGATAAATAAATTACGTGACGACAATCATAAATTGGTTAATGTAGTATTTGGAGTTTACGTTGGGGCAAGAGGTTAGCCTAATTTCCCATTTGAGTTTTTAGTTCGTGAAAAAATGACTTTTTCGCCTTTGTCAAAAAAAAAAAAAATTTACTTATTCCCATTTCCCAATGTTTAGAGTAAACGGTAGCTAAAACCTATAAAATATTGAAATGAAACTCTTGTATACTTTCTTCTCAAGGCGAAGAAAGAGATCAGTGAAAATGAGAGTTGGGAAATGTTTTCTTTTTAAAATAGTAAACCCAAGATGGTATTAAAAATTAAATCACGCCCACCGTGGGGCTCGAACCCACGACCACAAGGTTAAGAGCCTTGCGCTCTACCAACTGAGCTAGACGGGCTTTTGATATTCTGTGTAATGATAATGTATTCATACTCGTCGTATCATATATTTTACACTCCCCCACTTCTACAACAATTGAAAATTTGAAATTGATTTTTAGAAATATATCCCACTTTTCTTTTAACACACTATTTCCACTACAATCTCTTTTACACACAACTCCTGAACTCACAACCAGAACAAAAACCTCATACAAACACCATGTTTTCTCTTGTATGTACCTTAAACTCCAAGCAAAACAACCACAACAACAACCCCAAAAAAGAATTAAAAAAAACAAAAACAAAAATGAAGAAATGATTTGAGTACTTGAATGCCCTCTTAACCCGCTACAAGCAATTCTTCCAGAAGCTCCTCGAAGATCAAATCCTCAACTTCAATCCCGACACATTCACTCTCAAACTGCAAATCCATCCAACCATCCTCCCTCGACAAATCCCTACTCATAATCTTATCAAACGATTGCTCATCCTGTGGCTTGTAACGCAAGTAACAGCTTATTCTAACCCAAACCTCTTTCAAAACACTATATCCCACGGTCATTGGATGGATTCTACACAGCGATGATAACGGTTTGGGATAGTAATGGTAAGACTTCTCGTAGATTTCTATTAGTACCTCGTTGATTAGGTCGAAAAGAAGCAAGTGGTTGCAGCTACCACCTTCTTCTTCATATCTTGAACATTCTGGATCTTGGATCATACATCCTGTTGTTGTTGCCACTTCTTCGTAGACTAATGGATCTAGCGGCTGGTAATCTAATTGCCACATTGAGAGCGATTCAGGTGCGTTGAAACCTGAGATCTCCAGAATGTCTCTTACATAGTTAAATTTCACTTTGTCTTGTGCTTCTATCTGGAGGACTTCGTCTATGGCTGCTGCTGTTATGATTTCTAATTGTTTGCTTCTTGAAACAGTCTCTGTGTCTGGATCGTGTTGTATCTCCAAATCTGCAATGAAAGAAGTTTGTCATTGTCAAAACAAGAGACAAAGAGAAGGCAATGTGATCAAAAGCTCGATATGGGGAAGTGACATAAGGTTGAGGATACCTCGTGGGATGTGAGATTCAGAAGAATTTTCATCAAAAGTAAGACTGTCGTTTGATGATTCGTTCAAATATTTTGTTTCCCCTTCAGCATCAAGCATAGAGACTTCTCTGTTTTGTTCTGTCTCGGTCATCAAAGTAGGATTTTCTGCGTCAGAAGATGGATCCGCTGTAGTCTCTGGCACTTCATCTGAAGACTGAGAGTGATCTTCTGGGATCTCCGGAATGTCATCCAAACAATCTTGTTCTTGCTCGATTGATCTACTTGAAGTTATGAATTGTCTAGGAAGATCCTCAATCTTCAAAGCATAAGAAGATTTCATTTCAGGTGATGAAAGAATCCTTCCCAAGATTTTAGGAACTCTTTTAGAAGGCAACGCCGATTCCTCAGACTCCACCTTTGATGTCTCTGAAGTATTGTTGTTCTTTTCTTCTCTTTGGAAGCTACTTTCATACAGCTGAAGATATCTATCAAGTGATCCACACAGCGATGAAGCTCTTTTTATTTGCTTCATTTTTGTGCCTTCTGCTTTGTTGTTCTTAGTTTCAGAAGTTACTTTCAAGTGGGCGAAGACGTCGTGTCTTAAATCTTTCGAAAATCCATACTTTCGGGGCACTTTGTCTAAGACAGCATCCATAGTGATACGGTGTTTCTCGTTCTTGTTCTCGTTAATCACATGCTTTATCTTCTGTCTTAGATCCTTGAAACGTTTGATCACCACTTGGTTCTTTCCTCGCTTCCTCGTGTAACCAGAACCAGATGAATCTTCATCAGCAAATTTCGCCATTGATTCGTTTAACTTCTGTATCCCATCTGCTCTGTGTTGTGCAGCTATGGAAGGAGATGTTGATTTTTTTTCGATATCTTGCACCGAGTCAAAACCATTGTTATGATCCTCTCTATTGCTACCATGTGTAGGAAAGGATCCGGCTTTAGCCATTGTTTTGGAACTAAAAGCTTGTTGGCTCTGGAAATGCCGGGCTAGTGGAGAACCAGGATCCTGCAAAACTTTTAACAAGAAGTTTCTATTCATGTGTATCAGATTGAGAGCATCAAGACAAGCTTTTGACCGTCTAGGCGATGAATCATCTTCAGTCTCCGAGAAGTCCTTAGCATGTCTCAACTTTGGATCAAACCAAGCTTCCTCCTCATCGTTCTTCTCCTTCTTCTTGGAATCACTTTCATCAAAATCTGATTTATTTTCATCAGTATCACCAACTCGAGTGTTCTCTACCCTAAACTCTTCGCTGTCACTGTTGCTTGATTCCTCGGACATGAGATAAAGTGGGTTCAACGAACCAATCGCCGGTGAAATGCCAGCCGCCTTGTTAAAGACTCTGTTGCGCTCATCACCGTTTGAGGCATCCTTATCGGAAGATTCTACCTCACTCAGTGACTCCTTCTCTTTTGGGTTTGACTGGACAGGATAAGTAGAGCTTCTGTGATGGCGACCTTTCCTCTTAGACTTGTCCTCTACTACAAGTGCCTTAATCAAAGCTTTCACAGACCGTTTGATCTCTGAATGCGTTCTTCTCGACTTCTCTTCCGAATTGAGTTTCTTGGACTTCTCCTCTGAACTATGCTGCCTTTTTGTTTTCTCCCCTGAGTTAGACTCTTTGGACTTTACTGAAGAGCTAGGCTTCTTTGGTCTTTGCCCAGAGTCCTGAAGCAATGAAGCCGATGGGTGAGAAAGTTGCTGCATTTATGATTGAAGTAACATTTATACATATTCATTTTGCATCAACTTACTACATTTGTTTTATCTTCCACCTTGCTCTTGGATACGGGAATACCACCTGGTGGTGGAATTGTGTTATTTACTTCGCTTTTTGTTACTAAAAGCAAAAAAAACAGAAAAACATGGAAAATGTTACAAATATAAACAGTTGTATAGTCCTTATTATGCTCAATGCTTATGAGATTGTAAGGGAGCTAACAAAAACCAACAATACCAAGGCACAATTTGTTACCAGCACTTCTTCTACCAATGGGTCTTTTGTGAGGAAGTCGTTTCTTGATGTAACGCCAATGGTTGTGCTTAAGAATGTCAAATAGTCCCCACATGAATCCAGGATGGTTTTGGATTGGGGAGCAAGTAACTTTCTGACGCAGGTTCTTCCCCATTGATGAGTTGTGATAAAAAAAAACTCACTCAGCTACAAGTTTATCAAACCTGAAAAAGAGTTCCAAACATAAACACATCAATCTTGTGCAGACACCATGGGTGAGGGAAGAAAGAACAACAGCAACAATGAGAAATTGTAAGGTACACAGAACACGATTCCCTAAAATTATAACCGGTTCTTAGGGTCAGAGATTCGATTTGACCTCTCTGAATCAACATTTTATAGCATACATTACCCAGATTATGGATATTGGCGAGCATGAAGGGATTAGAAATACATATATTTATATAGTCATTACATTTCAAATTCATAAAAATCTGGATACATTCCGAAGTAGAGCCTAAAATCAACATAATATGCATGTTATACCCTCGAGGGTCATCAATGGGGATCCCAAACCCCAAAACGAGAATCAATTCGCGATTTGTGGCAAATTTTACATAAAGCTCGAATGTAATCCCAAACAATCAAAATCGGAGCTAAAGTGAAGCTTCTAAATCAAAACCCGAATCGAAATCTCATCTGCTCAGATTATGTCATTCACGCACAGTATCCGAGAAAACAATCAACATCTGATTTTCAAGGCGTTACGAAAAATAATAACCAAACTATTTAATCACCTCGGCGCAGAAAACGAGGGAACGGGGTTAATGTCGTTTACCTTGTGGAGATGAAATGCTTCTGGATTTGTGTGGAGCGTCTTCTCGGTCGCCATTAGCCATGGCGGGAGAGAGAAAGAGAAAGAGAGAAAGCGGAAGCGTATGCGTGCGCAACATGAACTTGGAGAAATTCCCGTTTTTCGCGAATTTTGGATTATTTATTTTTTTATACAATAAAGAAAAAACCAAAAATCAATTATGCGGCCCATTAGAAATCAATTATTTCAGTCCATTTATTATTTGTAACCCATTTAAGTTGTATGGCCTTTATACAATAGCAACTGAGTTTGGAAGGCCTTTTGATATTCCAGAGATAATTTCAGACCTTTTATTTTGAAGCTGAAAAGACAAGTCGAATCTCACCATTATTCATATCTGTCTAAAGAAAAAATTGACCCCAAAATAGCATTCGCAGTCGCAGGATCTTCTTTTGTTCGCTACAATCAAATCTTCATGGAGAGAAAATTGACTAATAAAGTAATGCCACTATCGGATTCGGTAACTTATATACTTACTCGCATGATAGGTATTTTACGTTATTGTGCCATAATAATTGTAACATACTACTAATAAAGTAATGCTACTATCGGTAACTTGTATGATTTTCTGTTTGTAAGTGTCTACTATAAATTTGGTAACTGAAAAACTTCTAATAATTTGAACGTTGCTATACAGAATTCGTTTTGAGATCAGAATGTTTTTAATATTCTATAAAAAGCTCAGGATTCATTTTGCAATTTGCATTCCTCCAAAAGCTATAAGTTTACAACTTTCGGTACCATCTTCCCAATAACTTAATGGTTAAAAGTGGACATGCAAATGTATTACTGATTTCCTTTTTAATAAATATAAATTTGTACTATTTTATTACTTCACCACTTAATTAAGTCATTTGACTTTTTGCTACTGATACTTTAATGACTCTTCTATCTCTTACAAAACCATCACATACTCTTCATCAAAAGTCAACTCATTTGTCCAAAAACCATCAAGTTTTATAAAAGAAAAAAACTGTTTTATCAATTACACAATATAATTTGAGTTTAAGATAAGTGTTCGTCGGTTAAGTTAACCTAATCGTATAGAGAGCATCCTTCATTCAGAATGTGGACAGGATTTGAATTATATTGCTGTTACAGAAAGAAAAAAAAAAGAGTCAACCATCTAAACCAATCTGAGACATTAAGAAATGAAAAGAAAAATCAAATGCAACGAAATCAAATCTGAACCATCAGAAGAAAAAAAAAAACAGGACCGGAGCAAATTAGTATTTATATACACCCCCTAACCTTTATATGAAACGATTATTATTTTATTCATCATTACAATTAAAAATAATAGAAAGATTTCCATCAAAAGCATTTTGTATTAACAAATCTTACTAATTCCACTAACATTAGAATAAAACCAATTCCCAAAGAATAAACTTCTCAATGTCAACTCTCTCTTTATCTCTCTTGGGTTCTCCTGTGTGACTCTGTCTCTTCTTCTTCGTTAGGTTCCACCATAAATCAACCAAACTCATTCTCAGGCTCTCGAGAAACCAATCTTCAAGCGGCTAAGCTTTTACAATTTCTCAATTCTCTTCGTCTTCCTTTTTTTTGACAAATGGGAAATGGAGTCACCACTTTGAGCGCCTGTTGTACCGGAACCGTCGCCGGTGAAATTTCCCGGCGGTTCGACGTATCTCTGATTCACGACGGACTTGGCCACTCGTTCTGCTACATACGACCGGATCTCACCGGATTAGTATTACCTTCTTCTACGCCGGAGGTTCCTCTCCGGTCAGAACCAATCCCAGAAACCACCACCACTTTCCGCTCAATCTCCGGCGCATCGGTCAGCGCAAATCCCTCAACGGCTCTCTCCGGAGCTCCACCTACGGATTTCGATAGCTCGTACAGCTCCGCCGTCTCCGCCTCCGCATTCGAGAGCTCCGGTAATTTCGCTTCTCTCCCTCTTCAGCCAGTGCCGCGTGGCGCCACGTGGCAATCGGGTCCGATTGTTAACGAGTCAGGTCACGGCTCAGCTCCGTTTGAGCGTCGTTTCTTATCGGGTCCGATTGAAAGCGGATTGTATTCGGGTCCGATCGAGTCGGCGAAGAAGGCGGAAAAAGAGAAACCGAAGAGGATAGTGAGCAGCAAGAAAAGAAAACCCTCACCGAAAAAACCCAAATCGAAGAAGAACTTTCTCACATTTAAGTCCTTATTCACGAATCTAATCTCCAACAATAAACCTCGCTCCAAGAAGAGCGTGATCGAGCCGATCAACGGTGCTGATTCACCAGATTCCGATCATCATCATCAACCTGAGATCAATTCCTCAAGAAGCGACGAAAACCCTAAATTTGACGAAGGAGAAGCTAAGGAAGAAGAAGAGAGCATCGACTCTGTTTTGGACGTTCAATGGGCTCAGGGGAAAGCAGGGGAAGATCGTGTACACGTGGTTGTCTCTGAAGAAAACGAATGGGTTTTTGTCGGAATCTACGACGGATTCAGCGGTCCAGATGCGCCGGATTATCTCCTCAACAATCTATACACCGCCGTGCACAAGGAACTCAATGGGTTACTCTGGAACGACGAAAAGCTCCCAACTTTTGGAGAAAACGGCGAAACCCAGGTCGGAAAATGTTCCGATGAGGACGATTCCGATTCGGTCAAAGAGAATTGTCCCGTGACGACGAACATTGACGATGCGGTTGCTTGTGGTGCAAGAAATCAAGAGAAGAGTGTGAAATGGAGATGCGAGTGGGAGAACAAATCAAACAACAAGACCAGATTATCTGATAACAAATCAAATTCGACGACAAGAAACCATAAAGATGTTCTTAAAGCTCTTTTACAAGCGCTTAGGAAAACCGAAGAGGCCTATTTAGAGTTAGCTGATCTGATGGTTAAAGAGAATCCAGAATTAGCACTGATGGGATCTTGCGTCCTCGTGACAATGATGAAAGGAGAAGATGTTTATGTGATGAACGTTGGAGATAGTCGAGCAGTGTTAGCCCGGAACCCTAATTTTGCGATTGGAAGAAAGAGGCAAAAGGAGTTGGGGAGAATTAAGGAAGATAGCTCATTAGAAGATAAAGAAATGTTGATGAATGGAGCAATGCGTAATAGTTTGGTTCCTCTACAGCTTAACGTGGAACATAGCACAAGAAATCAAGAGGTAAAACTAAGTAGTAAAGCAAAGAACCAATAGACTTTTGTCTTGTTGTGTTAAGTAGATTGAGAGTTCAATTAATGGGTTTTTTGTTTGCATGAGGACAGGAAGTGAGAAGAATCAAGAAGGAACACCCTGAAGACGATTGTGCAGTAGAGAATGATAGAGTAAAAGGTTATCTTAAGGTCACTCGTGCATTTGGAGCTGGATTTCTCAAACAGGTACTAATAAGATTAACATTTTATAATTACGTGTTTTTCTTATTTTACGCTATAATCTTGTTGTACTTGATTAATCTTGGTTTTTTTTTTTCTGATTCCCTTCAGCCTAAGTGGAACGATGCACTTTTAGAGATGTTCAGGATCGACTACATCGGGACATCACCATACATCACATGCTCTCCATCTCTATGTCATCACAAGCTAACGTCACGTGACAAATTCCTAATCCTCTCTTCGGATGGATTGTATGAATATTTCTCTAACCAAGAAGCCATTTTCGAGGTTGAATCTTTCATCTCTACTTTTCCTGAAGGCGATCCAGCTCAGCATTTGATCCAAGAAGTCCTACTTCGTGCTGCCAACAAATTTGGTAAGAACATAAAATTTAATAAACAAGTCAAATTAATTTTGAATGTTGTTGATATCTGATTATTTTTTTATTTTTAGGTATGGATTTTCATGAACTACTGGAGATACCACAGGGTGATCGGCGGAGGTATCATGATGATATATCAGTGATTGTTATCTCACTTGAAGGAAGAATATGGAGATCGTCGATGTGAATTTTATTGTTTTTTTCATATATCTCAATCTTTTTAAGAAATAATTACAATATTCGATCGGGTTGGGTTTTTTCTCTCTCTAATTCCGATTTGATTATTTTTCATATGGTGTATTTAATGTTTACCTAAATAGTTTAGTGAAAACACACATCAAAAGTGGGCATATAAAAATATTATTCTTTGGCTTTTTTTTGGTTATATGGGAATTGGGTGCTTCTTCTATGTATACCAAATCAAATTTATTGATTCATATATTTGTCGTTATACAAACAGATTACTGAATCTGCAACATATTTACAATGGACGATTCATCAGTATATGTACAAGTTTGTGGAAATAATTTATTTCTAGTGCGTTAGAATCTAGAAGATCCAGTTGTCAAGACTAGTTCGAACCAATCCAAGAGTTAAAAATCCTTTTTTCAGATTATATCAACAGCAACAAGACGCAGTTTGTGGAAGTAATTATTTTCAGTTACGTTAGAATCTAGGAGATCCTAATGTCAAAGAGTTTATTTGTTTAATGTACATACTACATTTTCAACTAATCCATTATATATAAAAACTAATATTTTATAAGGTTAATTACCTCAATATTACTTTTCTCGAAAATATTACTTAAAAAACTTTATATTAAGATTCAAAACTATCCAAAAACCCAAAAGCCATGTAAACACACGCACCTTAACTTGACCATTAGCTTACATTAATAATAATTCGTCACATACATCATCATCAGGTAAGACAAACAGTTTTTCCACTCTACATAAAAAAAAAAAGCTATTAACTAATTGGATTGTTTATAAGTTTAGAATCAATCAGCAATATCCATATTAATCGAGACAAAAACATACCCTCCATCACCTCCGTTAGTGTTATAGCAATCCTGACATTGAAGTACTCGAACACCATACATCACTGCGGCCAGAGATCATGCGTCCACATGAAATTTAAAGTTTGGATTTGTTCGAAATTAGCATCATATACAATCTTTACGAATAGAAAAAACTTTGTTAGTTACTTAACAAAATTATATGAAATTAAAATTTATAATTAAAATATTTATATTGTTGACTGTATTGTAGCTTAAATAGATTGGAATGACAATCATAACCAACCCATTATTTAGCATGCGTAGTCTAAGGCTGCTTTGAATTTGAATGGTGTAAACACTATGAATAGTTTACATGTTTATCAAATCTCACCATTTCAGCATCCTAGGGTAAGAATAGAAGAATTTTAGTAACATATATTAAACAGTCGACACTGCAAGCAAATCATTTTACCTCACTCGATTTGGTGTGCTGGAGAAATTCCTGACCATTCCTACATGCGAGTAATTTGGAAAAACCAGTATCACAATAGTAGTAGACTCATTTAGCATGTCTAGTCTAAGCGTGCGAACGTTGTTCACCACTTCCACAACAATTGGTATGTATCTAATCTTAAAGACAACCATGAATCAGAGTCACCTATTAACATGGCCGATCCAGAGGGTAGGTAGGCTAAGCCAGCGCTTAGAGCCACCAATATTTTTGAAAAAATTAAGCTAATAAATGAGTTACAAATTTTTAAAAAAATCTAAAAAATGGACCACAAATTTAAAATGACCAAATAAAGTTTACATTTTCTTTTTTTATAGCTTTGGGTCACTATTTTAATTAGACCGGGCCTACCCATTAAGACATGAAAAAGAGATGAAGATAAACTATGATAAGCTAAAATTAAAGAGCATCTACGGTTCTCAACAAACAAACATAAAACTTGTATCATTCGATCAACCTAAAGCTTAAGCTATAAAACAACAAACCAAAACCATGTATCGTTCATTAGTCATGAAACTACAGCTAGAAAAAACTCACCTAACATTTTCCTAAATACATTTCAGACACATTAGTACTTATCAGTATTTACATATAGAAGTTGTTCGCCGTGTGATTAGAGTATTCGAACAATTTAACCGCAACAATCCTCGACTCAAGAGTCCAAGGCTGGATTGGTTCTGTTCGAGATGTTAATTTTTTTAATTTGTTTAGGGAAAATCGAGAAAGTTTAATTTGGGACATTTTGATTAAGGCTAATTTTTTTCATTGCCGATGGAATTAGAGAAATATATTATTGGGCCTAGACGAAGCCCACATAGTTCCAACACTATCTTTAACATATTTTGCCAAGCAGAAACACGGGGAAGATGGGAAAGAAGAGATTCATTTAAGTTAACGTATCGTGTGCAGGGTTGTAATAGTGGTCGAGAAACGAATTGCTAACAGGGCTATCCAATCGTATACGGCTGCGTATATACTCACGGGTAGTAATGAAGGCAAATAATCATTTATTGGGCTTATCTTAAAAATCCAGATAAAAACATCATACTTAAGTTACAATGAAGGCAGAGATTATATATAACATCCAGACAGAAAAAAAAAGGGTAATAAACAGAAAACACCAAACAGCTGCTTCGTCTTATTCCAGGAGAAGGAGAACTTTCGCCACAGCAGCCTCCTTTTTCTCTCTCGCCGTCATCTTTTCTTCTCCATTATTTGGCCTAAAACAAAGCACGAACGAATTAATGAGAGGTTTTCCTTTATTCTTGCCAAGAACAAAAGATCAAGAATCAAATTCATGTACATGCGGGGAGGAGGATGGGGAGTAAACGTGAAGCTGCCGTCCGTTCTTCGACTCTTCCTTGGCCTAAAATAAAACAAAGCACGAACGAATTAACGAGAGGTTTTCCTTTGTTACCAAGAATACAGGATCAAGAATCAAGTTCATGTACATGTTGGGACGAGGAAGCATGAAGCTGCCGTCCGTTCTTCGACTCGTCCACATCCAGGGTGGCGTCATGATTGGGAGCATATTTTTTTCGGGCGGCGCAACCCGAGTCACTTGAATATTCCCCAATCCTTCCACGGCACATCCACATAGTTGCAGCGCCTTCTCTACGGTAGCTTGTCCCTGAAAAGTAACGGTAGCTATGCTATAAAAACCAACAAACAAAAACAAATCTTTGGTTAGCATTTGATAACATATGAGAGTTGGGAAAGAAAAAAGATTCAAAGACACAAACCTGAAGACAGAACACCTTCGCTTTCGTCTGCGTGAGCACGAGCACTCAGGACACATCCACATTGAGAGAAATGTTCAAACAGCATGCGCTCGACATGATCCACAGGAAGCGAAATGTCATATCCCGTAACTCCCATCCTAATAATTTGATTGCATATTATCAACGTTACAGCAACATATCTTACAGATCCAAAAAAAAAAAATTCAAAATTTTAAAACGAAACAAGTTACGTGAGCTGTCGCCTATTGTCTGAGTCTCTTGTAAGAGAGAGCACAGGGTCAAGGTCAGTGGCCTGAAACGGGTAAGGCGTAGCGACTACCTTGTGTCCTCCCATGTCACTCCCACTAAGTTTCAACGCCTTCTCTTCTGCACCTTCTCCCCGAAGATAAACCAAGGCAAAACTGTAAAACAAATTCAAGAGTGTTTATAGCAAATTGCATTTCAACTTTTATGAAAAAAACTGGAGGAAAGACGCCACAAACCTGTTGAGAATACAGCTCACACGGTGTCCTGTCCGGGAATATGAACATGTATCACCTCTCCACATGAAGCCAAGTGTTCTCTCATAGCCTCAACGAAAGCATAGCCAGAGAGCGAAGTGTCGTATCCCTCAACGTAAATCCTGCTCACCATGCTACTGCAATTGCAGGTGCTCATCATGCTACTGCCATTGCAGGTGATACTATTGTTATCATGACAGTAACACATCTCAAAAAAAAAAAAAAAAAATCAATTTTGTAATTGTACCTGCTTTTCCGAATGCCTGCATCAGTATCGTTCAATTCCAAACCCTAAGGTACAGTCAGAAAATTCGAATTTAGAAACAGAGAGATTAGAGAAAGCCATATTTAAGGATCGAACAAGAGATTACTTTGATGGCGGATCCGTCCATGGAGAAGTTGAGAAGATGCGACTGCCCTAGGTTTTTGAGAGGCAATAATAACCCGTAAAAATATATTTTTCGGTTCTAGGGATTTAGGTCTAAGAACAAACCGTTGGGGTCTTCAATTTAGACACCGTCGAGGAGGAAGAAGGTATTTATAATTCTTTTTTTTTTTCCTTCTTTTAATTATTATCCACGTAACCGTTGGTCTTCTTCTATTTGGTTCAGGCCCATATAGTCAACCTGAACCAACCTGAGTCATCGCGTAACCTAATAAAACTTTAGATGTAACAATTCGAGTCATGTACTTGTGAGCTACACAATATCTTGTTGACTCACGTAATATTCTTTACATAAACCAACAAATTTCCTAAATACATTTCCTGATTATGTGACTATTACATACTTTTCAGTATTTACATATGTATATAAGTTGTTCGCCATGTGATTAGAGTATTCGAACAGAGTACCGTATTACATTTTTGAATTTCTCTCTTTCTTTCTTTAAAAAAAAAAACAAAACTTTCACGTAAATATCATAAACTCACCAGTTTCTAAGGAACCTAACATAACATCGAAAGAGCATAAACCTTTGTCCCTACCAAATAAACCTCTGGACACCATCCTCATGGCTCCACTTGAACGGTCTAAACAAGAACATCGCCATTGTAAACACATTAACACCGACAAAAATCGTTCCTACGAGAAGCCAAGTGGCGAAGCCGCTGCTTCTGACACAGGAGTGAAGCATGAAGAGGTAAAGCGGGATGGTGTAATATCTGAACTCGATCAATGGCGTCGGAACAAGAACAGCGCATGTCGCTAAGAAATAGATCAATACCCAGATCTTCCTTCGAGTTTTCTCTATTGGATTGAGAAAGAACCAAGTCAATTTCACAATAGACAAAAATTGAAGGAAAGAACGAATCATACACTGCAGAGAAAGGTTTTATTTATTAACATGTACCTAATAAACTTAGGATTGAGAACCAGGAGTAGACGTAAACCGGGACTAACACGTACTTGATTGACCAATGAGCGTTGATGACTTTCCTCCATAGATAGAAAGGATAATGGCGATTATCGGCGAGAAGGTAAGGATGAGCCAAGCTACAAAAGAGTTTCCAGATGGCAAAGAGAATGAGAGTTTGTATATCGGAGAGCCTAAAGTGTTTTTAGACTATTCAGAAATCGAACCTGAAAAAGTGTACAGAGCCTAATCCGGCTATCAGAGCCACAAGAGTCACTAGAAGGCGTAAAGGCCAGCTTTTATGGAGCCTTTGGAACAGATTTCTCAGTTCTGAGAAGTGTAAGGGAGCAGTGAAAAGAGCAGAGACGAGGCTGAAATACATTATCTGCGCGAAATGCGGGGAAACCACATGAGCCTCTTTTGCACCTGTGAATTTGAATTGATAGATCAGTCAAGAGGAAAAACAACAGAAGGCCTAAATTTACATTTCAAGGAAAGACAGACAGAGCCAGTTCCTGATGAAGAGAAGATAAGTAAGTTGAAATTTACATACCGAGGACTATACCCCCGTTCCAGAGGATAAAAATACCAAACGCCACCACAACGACGATGAAAGGGCTAAATGTGACCAAAAGCCTCCACTTCAGATTCCAAGATGTTGAGATTACAGCATAGATATCACTGACTAAGCCTGCAGTTTTTTTGTACGTTACCTTGGATGTTGTAAGAGAAGAGGAACTTCAAACAAAACATGTAAAAGAAACCTACCTGAAATATCCTCCTCTGTTGAAGAAATGATTTTACTGCGGTCGAAACGGTTGGTAGTATCCAAGCTGCTATCAGATTTTCTTTTTCTGAGATTTGATCTCACGGTTTCTCCTTTGCTATCAATGAACCGATGCAAATCTTGATCTAGTTTTTCTTTTCGCCTTGGCAGCGATTCGAGAGTGAAGTCTATAACACCTGAGCAAGCAACGAAAAGCATCCAGACTACATTTGTTTGTCTGATAAAAATTGCTAAAGTACCAAACTGCAAGCAAAACAAGAAAGAACATAAATTTATTTGCCAACGTAATTGTAATTCTAACTATTGAAAAACACTAACTTGCTTCAAATGGCTTACCAATGCACTGAGCATATATCTTCTTTTCAAACAAGCGAGGTACATGGCAAGAACTGCGGTTAGAGACGCAACATCTGTGTAGTAGAGGAAAGTGAAGAACCAATGGAGAGGGTAAAGCGACATGACTAACGCCATGAAAGTTGCTTTTCTATCACTGAGATTTGGCCCCAAGAATCTGATAATCTCATACACTATAACTCCACACAGAACTGCAAAAACAGCATTCGTAGACCGTAGAACAGACGTAGAACAAGCTTCCGAAAAGGACTGTGTAGTAGTTTTCAGCAACAACATTACTGGAAAGAAAGAAGCAACATGTGCAAGTGAAAGATAGTACCTGCCAAAAAAAGGTTTTTGAATTTCATATATACATCAACATTTCAGAATTCCAGTTCAAAAGATTCAAACTTTCCCGGTATAGTAACATGAGCAAGCAACAGCTTAGAGAAGCAGTAACAATACAAAACCGCATTAAAAAAATAGACTGACAAAATCAAGACTCGTAAAGGCAACTACTTCAGAATCAACATAAGAAAGAGATGATTCAAGAGAGGCATTACAATCCAGGTGGGGTAGTGATCATTGGATCCCAGCTCCTAAAATTCCCATTGCAGTATTGCTGAGCCTGAGGCACATGGAATATCTCGTCCTGCAAAACTCACAGATGCAGTAATCAACACAATCGGAGAGATAGAGGATACTTCGGAGATTACATTCACAATCTGACTTCTAAGAGGGAGTTTTTTTACCATGTAGGGTTCGGGAACAATGTGATTGACGATGATCGACATGGGAATTACCCACAAGCCCGTGATAGCTGCAACGGCTAATTTCCCCATTTTCCCCTCCAATTATCCCCCAGCAAAATATCAGTCAGATCGAAAACACCCGATCTGAGTATTTACGATCGCTGATCAATCATGGGTTTTCATGCCTGGAAGAATAAGACAATGAAATCGAATTTCGCCGGAAAGTTGAGTGAGCGGAAAAGACGGTGAGATTTCGATTGACGAGAGAGGAGAGTCAAAGCGAAGTCAACGAATCAACTATCAAGATTGCAATTGGGCTTTACCAGTTTTATATCTACAGCCCAAATCCATTGTTATTTATAATTCTCACACCTTAAGAAGTAAAGAATTTCGGTTGGACCTCAATATTTTCATAAACACTTGCCTAGACCCAAAATTTTTGGAGTGCAGAACAAAAAGGAGATGCAGTTGCCAGTGATAATCGAAGAAAACAAAAATCCATGGATAAATTGTTGGTCACTGTACGCTTTTTTTTTTTCCTTTGCATTTTTTATTACTTTGTCAACTTCACTCGTCACGTTAAGTAGATCAATTATCACTGTCTAATTTTTTCATGGATATCTTTTTTTAGGTATCATGCAGAGCTAACGTCATCACTCCGTTGAATTCCTTTATTAAAGAAAAAGGTATCTACCATTTTAGCTATATTTTTTTCAAAAGTTCCACAATTTATAAAGTTATTTAAACATATCACCAATTGTATTTTACGAAGAGTTCATTTGTTAACTTTTTGCTAGTTCAACAGAATTCCACTTCTAATAAGATTAAAATTTTAAATATCTATTTAGTTCGACCAAAAAAAAATAAAATAATATATATATATATATAGTTGTTCTCTGTTTTAGACTTTTATTTATGAATTTAAACTGAAACTCGCAGCTATCAAATCAATATAACTGTATATAACTAAGATATGCATATGTACTTAAAATTCGCAAATCCATGATGAATATATATATATAGAATTATAGATTTAAGATAAGAATGACCGTTATTAATAATTACTATTAGAGGAACAAGACTAAGCATGTCCTACACAAATGGACAACAAAGCTGTCTCCTGTCCTTCAGAATATACACTGCAAAGCGATTTTTATCAAAAGATGTGGGAATCACAAATAAAGCTTTTGAGATTGAAAACATTTAATTAGAGTCTCTGGACCCAGATCCCAATCTTCATCTAATTTACTACTACTATGGTTTTGACTTTAATCTATATTATTAGTACTTTTGAGGAAAACTCCGTATATTCTATGTGTTTCGTTTACATGGTCATTTTCCCGAACGATGCGTTACAAGAAATTGCAATGCGGAACCTCGAAGATTATAAGAAGTTGTTGAAGTAATTTCCTCAATATCTAACTTGGATTCATTAATTAGAGAGGGGGTTTGAACTAAGGTTCCAAAATCCGATCGAAATTTTGATTGCCTGCAAACAATCACCCAATTTATCTGTTAAAAAAAATTAGGAGGTGAATAATAGTTGTTACTGATGATGATCATTAGATAGAGTGGGTAAAACCAAGAAAAAGAAATGGTCCCAAAATTTGCATGTGGGATTTGATTCAAATATGTCTAAGCAGCATCGGGTGACATCATAAAGTATCTCATTTTTTTATCTCTCCATGTGTAAAAAGCACACAATCTTTGATATATAAAAAGAGAGAAATAGACCTTTATATATATATATATATATACGTAATGTTACTTGATGAATTTTTACTTCCTTACCACCAAGAAAAAATAATTTACTTTATTGAAATTTCGTTAATACTCGAGCTGGTGGTATTTGTAACTTGAAGAAACCTATATGTATCAAGATTGTTTCCCAATCAGTATGAAATTAATAGGAAACCTGATTACCCAATGTGTTAATGATATCAAACTTTTTAAAACTATTTTAAAATGATATATATGGCATATAAGTCTCTTTCTTTTAGTGTACTGCAGATGTCAACAACAATTGTTAGTAAATTGCTTTGTAATAGTTTGTGAATTTCGATTGTACAGTCTTATGATTATTATTTTCAAAATATCAAAAATGGTCAATGAGAAAACATGTGTTTGCAACTTTCTCTCATGACCTTTTATAGTAATATAATGAAATTATAATTTGTACATCAAATTGAGAAACTTTTTTCTGCAAAGTTTTTGACCCATTAATATTTTAAATCTTATTAAGCTAAAGAAACAAATGACAAAACGTGAAAGATGGAGGACATGATGATCAACCATGTGCGCAGGCATTGCCACCACATGTCCAGTACCCAATCTTTCATTATCCCTCATTATTTATTTAAATTTACTCACTTAATCCATACTTAATCCCCTAATATAATATATCATATAACTTACATATCTTTCTAATTTCGTAATATATATTAATTTGGAGGTTGTGCTGGTGGTCGTCGTTTAGGGAGGTATATCAAGTTTACCAATTCTATAGTGAGTAATTCACATTTTAAGGCTGATGAATCCAAAATTATAATTTCCTACGTGTGCCACAAGTTAATAGATTCAAATTAAAAAGAAAGTTGATATTTTCAAATGTTTATGATGATCGATGACAATAACAAGTAACAACAAATATGGATTAAAAGTATTCAAAACAAAGAAAAATATGCATTTTAAAGGGTGTGTCTGAAATTTGGAGATCTCAATATTATAGATATGTTGATTAGTAAGTAGATCATAGTCAAATTTTTTTTTGTTTGAACATTCTCATGGTCAAACTTCAAGAGTAAGCAAGCATCAACTATATCCCCTAATGCCCAGAGGCCAGATTGATTACGCAACAATTTCAGAAAATAAAAAAAAAAGTAGAAAAAATGATTTCTTTTGTGTTTGAATAATGGAAGGAACAATATGAAAGTATCAGCAATGTAATAAGTCAATTATTAGTTGGTGCTTCATTGCTTGCGTGCACGATAAAGGAAGCATTTGAGAAAATAATTTTGTGACGAGAACGAAAAAAAATAGAACTGATACGACACCGTATGCATGAACACGAGAAACTACCAAACACAGAGAAGCTTCACAAATGTATCGCGAGGTCCCCATGCAATACAAAGGCACGTGCGTCTGATTTGCATCAAAGTTTGTGGAGACAATTCTTACCTTTTATCTAAAAAAACCATAAATTTTAAAAGCACAGGCATGCAAATGCTCAAGTCAAAAGTACAAGAACGATGGATTTTTTACATCGAGATCGTTTTTCTTATGGTAAACAAGACTAATCAGTTTCCATAAGAATGTAGATATCATTAAGAAATTAAAGAGTTTGGAAAATATTAAGGAATAGATTGCTAACCAACTTTGAGGAAATTACATCTTGTCACAACTTTTACATCTGACCAAAGGTTCTTTTTATTTAATGTTAAAAAGGTTCTTTTTATTTTTTTAATGCATTAATTAAAAGATCTTTAAATTAATAACTGTAAAAATTAATAAAATATTAAATCCTCTATACAGTTTTTTTTGTAGTTGGAAAATCTTTTTTTTTTTTTGAAAATGATAGTTTAAAAATCTTAGACCAACCCAAATATGTTTTTTTTGTGTGGATACATACATATTCATTGATTAAGGATGTTACATCGACTTAAAGTTTACGTTCTAAGAATTAAATTGTGGTAGTTTAATGGTCAATTCTCTACTTGTCTAAATCAAATAAATTGATTGTCATTAGACTATTCTTTCCCAAGCTAAGTGCAAAATTTACATACGATGACATGATATATAGGTGTACATATGCATATAGCCTATACATGCAAAAATGAAGCGAGCATATAAATTTTAATAATAAAAATAACAAATAAACTAAAGTTTTTTTTGTATCCCGCCACTTGGGAGACAGATCACTAGTTAGTTGAAATGGTGGCTTTCAAGTTTCGGATCCAACGCAAGTAATCGCTCCTTCTTCTCTCTCTTCTTTTCTTTCTCTCTCCGTAATTTTTCTCTCTCTCTCTCTCTCTCTCTCTCTCTCTCAAATTTGCCTAATGGCAGAGATCTGCTGCGTCAAGGATATCCAAGAAGACGTAGAGAATATCCGGTTACCGACCCGACCTGAGTTGGACCTCCCCGATCACGAAGACTCAACGGTCAACGACGACGATGGGTGCAAGACTCCAACATCGTCCGATCACAAGATTCCGGCGGCGAAGTATACGTTATGTCCACCCGCACCGAGAAAACCGGAACCAAAACGGTCTACCGGAATGAAGCGAAAGTTGACGCCGGGTAATGTCGTCAACCGTATACCGATTGATCTGAGCCGTGAGATCGAGATGTTCTTCGAGGATTTGGACCGTAGGATCAAGAAGTCACGGAAACAATAAAAAGAAGACCGTGATTATTGGTCATGTCTCTAATTTATGACTGTGTGGTGGTAATTGATCCTTTTAATTTTCCCTTCATTTTTTTCAATTTGTTTTTCATTTTCTGTATAATATAAGTGGCAGCTGATAACAATAAAAATTATGATCACATTATGAATCCGTTTTTTTTTGGGTCCAAATTATGAATCCGTTAACTTTGATATATACTACCGACAAAGGGAAAAACTCTCATTACAATTACGTACTTGTTTTCAAAAGTAACTCACGTTTTCAGTAATCAAAATTCAATATAATGTTTCCTTTTCTGATTTTGATTTCGAGAGAATATATAAAATAATATTAGTTATATTTATTTATGTTGTTCGCACTTAACATGTCAAAAGACTCAAAATAAACTATAAAATCTAACACTTCAATGTAATTTCACCACATATATTTGTCTACATGCCTTTTTCTGGAAATTTATAATTTTAATAAGAAAAACAGCAATCCAAAATATCTATCTGTTTTCCTGTAAACGGATTATATAATATATATCCGAAAAATGACTTTCACAAAACATTATCTTAGGGTGTTTAATTTCTAGTTATTAATGCTAATTGATTAATATCAATTTCGACAAAAAAAAGATTAATATCAATAGAATCAATACACCAAAACACGTTAATATTTTGCCAGTTTCAAAATTTTATTAGATTATTT